GTGGGGGGTTGGGTGGGGCCGAACCTACCTGCGAACACTCACTGCTTCGAACGCCTCCGGCGAGAACATGCCCCTGCCAGCACTCAACGCTCGTCGTTGCTTTCCAGCCCTCCCTTGGATTGGGTCCTGGTATGGACTGGAGCACTGCTCGCACGACGTCCTCCTCTCGACTCCCCCTGCCTGTTCCCTCTCTCCTTTTTCCTCCTGCCTGCTTTCGCGCTCCCTTCGGGGGCTGCCAGCTGCGTAACTGTAGGCACTTTCGTGGGCTTCTGGGAGGTCCAGCGGGCGACGTCTTACGCGCATTCAGACGGGACCTCTCGTTGCCCTGCGGGCTGCCAACTGCGCAAGAGTCGCCACTCACGTTGGATCCCAGGAGGCCCAGCGGAGTGACGTCTTACGCCTATCCAGACGGGACCTCGCGCTCCCCTTGAGGGCTCCCACCTGCGTAATTATCGCCACTCTCGTCGGCTCCTGAGAGGTCCAGCGGAGCGACATCTTACGTGTATCCAAATGGGACCTCGAGCTCTCCTTGGGGCACTTTCGCTGGCTCCTGTGAGGTCCAGCGGAGCTTCGCCTTGCGCGCACATAGGCGAGACCTCGCGCTCCCTGGGGGGGCTGGCTTCCAACTAAGCACCCGTGTGCACTTTCGTGGGCTCCTGGGGGCTCCAGCGAAGCTACGCCTTACGCGCATATAGACGAGACCTCGCGCTTCCCTGGGGGGCTGCCATTTTCGTGGGCTCCCAGGAGGTCCAGCGGATCTACGTCTTCCGCGGACCCATATGGGACGGGCTGTCTGCCAACTGCGCATCTGTTGCAGGGCTGGACCTACACGTTGTTATTCGTTTTGTTTTCGTTTTGTGTTTCGTTTTGCTCTACCTGTTCTCCTGTACCTCCCTGTCGAACCGAAAAACAAAACACAGCCGAAGTCCAGCACAACAGCGTTGAGATCCCCTGTCGTGTCTTTCCCCAGGAGGTCCAGCGGACCTACGTCCTACGTGCATCCAGACGGGGCCCTCGTGAGCCCCCTGGCGGGCTGCCGCCTGCGCAGCTGTCGCCACTTTTCGGGGACCCCTGGGAGGTCCACCGGCTTCTGCTTCCTCCAGCGTCGAGTATCATGCAGGCCCCATGAGCGTGCAACACATGGTGTCCTGTGGAGCTTTGAAAGGACACCGCGTCTTGTGTCGAATTCTCACTCTTTGTGTATGGGCCTATTGGTGGTACAGCTCGTGGCGCAAGGGTTGCCTCCATTCCTGGTAACTGTTTGCAGGGATCGCCTCACGACTGTTCTGTTACCGGTTGTATCTTCACGTGAGAAAGGGCTGGTCAGACATGAGACGTGTTGTGAGTCTGCGGCGTCGACAGATGGGACATCATCAGGCATAGCAGTAGGGCATACATGTGCAGACATGCTCAGACCGTGATCGGGCAAGTACGAGTGGCATCGTCGTGATCTGGCTGTCATTATTTTATGGACATCAGCAGCATGTATGTTTCAGATTTCTAGACGCTTCGCGTGACCCCACCAGCCCATCCAGAAACGATGCCCAGACGAGTTGCCCTGATCAGGGATGTGGAGGAGATAATGCAGTGGAGTACAGTGCTGTATAAGACGTCGTACCCCAAGATGGGGGAGGATGCAGGAGGAATCGGAGGAGGAACAGGATGAGGAGGAGGAGGACGAGGAGGAGGAGGAGGAGGAGGCGGAAGGAGGAGGAACAGGCGGATGAGGAAGAGGAGGAGAAGGAGGATGACGAGGAGAAGGAGGAGGAGGATTAGGAGGAGGATGGCGAGCAGAAAGGGTAGAGGCCCCTTGGATGGCTTTCGGAGTCTTTTCGGATTTCATTGAGAGTTTCTTGGGGTCCTCTTGGCGGGTCTTGAGGGTCTCTTGGTAGTCCCGGGGGCCTTGAGAGGCGTCTTTGGTGCCTCTTAGAGCCTCTTGGGGGTATCTTGGGGGCATCGTGGGGGCCTCTTGGGGCCTCCTGGGCACTTCCTGTGGCCGTCCTTGGGCACATTTGAGTGCCTCGGGGGCCATCATGGCCATCTGGGGAGAAATCGATCAAAGGAGGGGGGCTCCTTACTGAGGGTCCACCCCAGGAGGCCAAAATGTGACACCTTAGCAGAACCACTGATCTTGGTTTTCGCACCGAGGCCTCTTGCGGCGTCTTGGGTGCCTCTGGGGGGCCTCTTGAGGCCTCTTCGGGTTCTCTTGGGAGCCTCTTTGGGGCATCTTGGGGTCCTCGTGGGGGCCTCTTGTGGCCTCCTGGGCACCTCTTGTGGCCGTCTTGGGGCACCCTTGGGAGCCTCGGGGGCCATCTTGGGGCCATCTCGGAGGAGATCGGTCAAAGGAGGGGCCGTACATCAGGGTCCCCCGCCCAGGAGGCCAACATATTGCGAAAACCAGCAATTTGAGCCTTGTCGCCGAGGCCTCTTGGGGCATCGTCTTGGGTGCCTCTAGGGAGCCTCTTGAGGCGGCATCTTGGGGGACTCTCGGGGGCCCTGTCCTCGGGGGCCATCTTCGGGCCATCTTGGAGGGGGATCGATCAGCGGAGGGGCAGTACATTAGCTCCTCCCCCCCCAACGGAGGCCAAGAAGTGGCCAACATTTTTTCTGGTATAATCAACGATCCTCGGCTTCCTTGCCGAGACCCTCTTGGACGCTCCAGCCCCTCGCGGAACGCCCCCTCCAAACCCAGGGGCATAGGGATAGGGGGAGATATAAACTCCTCCTCGAATGGGGCGAGGGAAGATGTACGAGGAAACTCGCTAAACCACTCACGCCCTAGAGGGCTGATGGGATTGTTGGGCACCACCCTACGGTTGAAACGCACGCATACTTAGATTTATTTATTTATATACACACATCTAGTATTTATCACCTTTGCGTACCAACAGACGTATCAGGGGTATTCGGTACCAACTAGGTTGGTGAATCGTCAATGCGTGGGCAACTCAACTTGGTTGGTAATCCTCCATCTGATTTCATGGGTTGGATCAGTGCCTTGCGCGCTGGTTGTGTGTGTGAGAGTGTGTGTGTGTGTGTGTGTGCGTGCGTGCGTGCGTGCGTGCGTGCGTGCGTGCGTGCGCGCGTGCGTGCGTGCGTGTGCGCGTGTGTGCGTGTCAGTGTGTCCGTGTGTCCGTGTGTCCGCGTGTGTTCGTGTGTGTGTGTGTGTCTGTGCGTGCGTGCGTGCGTGCGTGTGTGTGTGTGTGTGTGTGTGTGTGTGTGTGTGTGTGTGTGTGTGTGTGTGTGTGTGTGTGTGTGTGTGTGTGTGTGCGTGCGTGCGTGTGTGCGTGCGTGTGTGTGTGTGTGTGCGTGTGTGGTGTGTGTGTGTGTGTGTGTGCATGTGTGTGGGTGTGTGCGTGTGTGTGTGTGTGTTTGTGCGTATGTGTGTGTGTGTTGTGTTTGTGTTTGTGTGTGTGTGTGTGTGTGCGTGTGTGTGTGTGTGTGTGCGCGTGTGTGTGTGTGTGTGTGTGTGTGTGTTCCTTCCTCCTCCTTGCGTGCGTCGCGGCCTTAGTTTGCATACGGCGTGTCCCCTGTTGCCATTCCGCCGGAGCAGTCGCCCTCTGCCCAGCCGCCGACGCAAACAGTGTCTGTGTGTGTATGTGTGTGTGTGTGTGTGTGTGTGTGTATGTGGGCGCGTGTGTGTGTGTGTGTGTGTGTGTGTGTGTGTGTGTGTGTGTGTGTGTGTGTGTGTGTGTGTGTGTGTGTGTGTGTGTGTCTGTGTCTGTGTCTGTGTCTGTGTGTCTGTGTGTGTGGGCCTTGGCTTAGCTGAGGAACCCACCAGGTGGTGCTCTTAGGGGTCGCGGGATGTTCTGTCCAAGCCATGCTAATATGCTCGTATCCCCTTGCGGAAGACGTCGCGAAACGATTCAGCCATGTGATACAGTGCCTTGGTGCAGCGGGGTGGTTGAACATGACATTTCCCGGTGATGCAAGCTGGGCTATTGCCAACTTAGGCAAGCAATGATATGCGTCTGTTGCGGTTGGTGCATAATCGGCGTGATATGTTTGACAGGTGGAATGGTCGGTTGGTATCTTGCCGACTTTCCCCATTGGGCCATTTTGGGTGGTCGCCTGTCTTCCACCGGGCCTTGTGGGCGTGCCCATGAACCCTGGGGACCACGTCGTGACGGACCTGGGCCACCTTCGGGCAGTCTTGACGCCTCTGAAGGTGAGCAGGGTGAGGTTGCGGATGGAGGAAGATGGAGGGGGGGGCGGGGAGGAAAAAGAGGAGGAGACCGCGGGGATGGGGCGGGAGGAGGAGGAGGAGGAGGAGGAGGAGGAGGAGGAGGAGGAGGAGGAGGAGGAGGAGGAGGAGGAGGAGGAGGAAGGCCACGCTGGGGCACCCTGGGTCCGTCTGAGGGCGGTCGTATTGGAGAGTCTTGGGAGAGACTCGGTGCTGCCCTGGAAACCACCTTTGGTCTGTCTTGTGACAGCTTGGGCGCGGCGGGTCGGGGAGGAACGAGGTTTGGGCAGTTGTCCGAGGTGTTCTTTCTGAGTCTTGAGCGTATCATGACTTCGTGTGGTGCCTCCAGATTTTCCCTTCAGGTCAGCTGGAAGACGGCTCGCGGCCTTAGCGCGTGTCTTTGATAGCAACGGGGGGCTCATTCGATCCGTCTGGGGCTGAACGAACACTTCGAATACCTCTTGAGGCCCTCTTTGGGCGCTTTACGGCCGTCTTGGAGGCCTCTGGGGTCGCATGGGGCCTTCTTGGGGCCGTCTTGAGGGCCTCTTGGGTCTGTCTTGGACCCTCCTGGCGGCTTGTGGTGGGGGCGTCTTGAGTGTATATTGGGGACATCAGTGTCTTCGACCGTCGGGAGCCCGAACGTGCGAGAACGCGAAACCGATTGAAACACCTGCGCAGCAATGGCGTTGGCCTCCCGGAGGTCCTCTCGGAGTCTGTTGGGGTGTCTCGGGAGCGTCTTGGCCTGCTGGAGGGCATCTTGGGCCTTCGTGGAGTCGCCTCGAGCCGTCTCGTGTCCGTGTTGGACCGTCTTGAGGGC